CTTTAATAAAACAAATCGGTGGAGAAAATGCTGAAACATGCATCTGTTAGCGTAGCTATATTTCCAAAAATGATCTGACTCTTCCTCATTTTTAGCCAAAGGGATGAAGGGTCTTTGTTAAGCACATAAAGCTCCAAAGGTTGCAGACCCCTGGTCTGGGCAATATTTATCTTTTAGACATTTCGCTTGCAGGAGTATTAAGAATAAAATCCGATGCTCCTTCAAAGAGTTTGATCGCCTCTATAAATAGGCTGCTCTTTAACAGTTGGTCTCACTCACCTGTCATCCCTTTAGCGAGAACAGCGGTCAGGCGGTGTCTTTGTTCAACAAATCCGGGCTCTTGGATGTGGTGGTCCAGTGTTTGGAGAGACACCCTCACAACGTGGAGCTGGCCGTATCTGCTGGTAGGTCTGAAAGAGATGGCATGATATCAGTTTATGCTGCTGAACAACAGATTTACATAAAAAAAAAGATATAATGTGTTTACAGCTGCTTTTATTTTAATCAGCTTGCAAATAATTTTTTATTTTTTATCAAATAATACCCTAAAGAAGAAAATTCATCTGAATCTTTTTTTGTTTTTCTTTTTAAAGGCTTAAAATGCAAATAAACTGTTGGTTGTTTATAATAGCAACACATTTCCTGTAGCAGGTATTTAACAAATATAACAATATTTGGATTTACGGTTGCGGTTTAGTCCAGAGGAAGTGGGTTTTTATTCAGCTGTTTTAAGCATAGAGACCAATTCTATTTCCTCCAACTGAAGTTTGGACGAAAAGAAAGATGACAGTAAAGATGTGGTGATAGCTGTGCTTTTAAACAGTGTTGTTTTCGTCAACGGTGATAAAATTATTTCATTGACGCTCCTTTCTTTCATGATGATAATGAAAACTGATGAGCTAAACATAGATCTTTAATGACGAAAACATTATGACTCGTAGGTGAGAGTTTTCGTCAACGACGAGGTTTAAAATGCATCATTGTGCTGTAATCTGTTAAACAAGCTAATCAGTATCAGCCTTGTTGCTACGTCCTGTTTGGTGACGCAGCCCAGCTGGCGTGCAGCAGTGCACATTCTGCATGACCAAAGATGGACCATGGCAGCACCGGCAGGGGTTAAATAAGCCGAAATAGTCTGGTATTGCGCACTGAACTCTAACAAACTGCTCTTCCAGCTGTGCTTGTGCAGAAAATTTTCTTTGTGAGCACTAATCCCGAGGCCACGCTTTGCTCTCCAAAATGAACATTGACTCACAGCAGTATGGCTCCTCGTGCTCTCACTACTTAATAAACTATATGTGGTTGATCATTGATAGTTTTTGTCGTAAGACTAAATCTAAGATGACTGTCGAAAACAACAATTCTTTTAAAGGTGCATAGTCAGATTATATTCCTATAAGTAAATGACTGAAAACCATTGGATATGAATAAAATAAGGTAGTTCTTATATAAAAGTCCTTTTGAAGCGCAGATTTTCTTTCCCAAGGACCCATCAGCTGCTGCTTCCAGTTCAAATCCCAGCCTGATATTAAAGGACTGGATGTTGCACGTTGGTCAAAGTTGGTTGTAGCTTTTTAGGAGCTGATGTTCTCCTAATGTTACCATTAAAAACAGGATCAGGCTAAATAAGGATAATAGTCTGACAGTCAGGTGTGTTTGGTTTTATCTCTGTAGATTTTAAGCCCAGAGGATTTTCAGAGCAACCTTTTCATGAAATTACGTATCTGATTAAATCCAGTGTTGCCCCAGTGTCGAAATGTAAAAAAATATTTTATTAATAATATTTTCCAAGTAGAACCATGATTGTAAATATCACAATCTCTTATTTATAGGTGATTAAAACAGAAAAAGTATCTAAACTTTCGATCCTCAACCAATTTGTTTTCAAAAATAAACACCTTGAAACCCCTTTGAAAAATTTGCTCGCATCTTGACTATAACCGCAGTAAACTTGGACTTAATTGGTTGAAGCGTATTTATTCCACAAAGGTTTTAGTGGACTATAGATATTTTATTTTTGGATAGACATTAAAGTAGCATCTTTATTTATTTTTTTGTTTAAAGGGTTGTAAAACCAAACTGATGTATCAAACTGTTGGTGACCTAATTTAGAAACTTTAAAGCCTCCTTTATTTTAAAAGGATTTAATGGGGAACTTTTTTTTAACCTAACATTAATGCTGTAAAGTAAAAAGAAGCTCCACCCTCAGAGGCTCATACCGCTATGACTGCAGGGTTTAAAGGTATTTTACAAGACTGTCTGATATGAACCAAACTAAGTTAGATCGCTCTCTGCTCCTCAGCTCACTGTTTGCACACTGTGACTGAGGAGAACCCTGAGCTCCTACGGAGCATGAACCCCGCTGTGCTCGGAGCTCTGGAGAAAGTGCTACTGTCATCCGAGCCAGACATGGCGCACACTCTCCTCAGGACTTTAGCTGCAGGTAAAATTCATCCTGTTTTCATGCTCATCATGAAATGACTCCAGGTCTCCTCAGTGCCTGCCTTGTATCTCAGGTACGCTGTGGAACGTGAAGACCAGCCTGCCCGCCGCCCAGCAAGCTCAGACCCTCAACGCCGTCGTGGCTACCCTGTCACAGTGCCTGGATTTAGACACGGGCGTGTTGATCCCTGAACTCAGGCGAGCAGAAGAGGCTCATTCCAGAAACACGACCCCAGCGACGGACACAGAACCACAGGCGGAGCCTGTCGAGGAGGAGATGGACAGAGAGGAGGAAGCACCCATGGAGAAGAAGAACGGCAAAACTCAGAAGGTCGACGGCGACTTCGCTGACCTGCTGCCTGTAAGCAGAATCTGATTATTAATGAACCATGTGAAGAGAATTACACCTGCTGAACATTTTTCACACTTTCTTTTATTACAGCAACAAAACTCCCCATTGTGAGTGTACCTTAACTTTTTTTCTTTTCATTTTTGGACCCCAAAAAAAAAATTCACTACAACTAATGGTATAATAAATTAGTTATAAATGTATAACTACAGCTGTTCTGCGAAGGTCTCAGCGGTTTGAAGACTAAAAACACCAAAGACGGGTCAGAGGTGAGGCTGAGGAAAATATTAAAGTAGGATTAGGCTATATATATATATATATATATATATATGCTATTTAATTTGCAACTGCAGCCACACCGAGAAGGTGCCTTCCATCTACACAGATAGTCTGAGCAAAGATGAGCTCTGAAAGATTTAAAATCTAAGTAATTTTTCTGTGAAATAAATGTAATTTCAGTTTTTTAGCAGAAAAGTAAAAAAATTTTGCCAGATCTGTCATACATCGGCATACACTGGTTAAATCTTCAAGGTGTGACAGCGCCTTAGCTGCTGAATTAGAGGTGGGAAAAAAGGATCAGTAGATCTAGTTTTTCTTTATGATGTGTCAAATTTAAAATAAGAAACTGCAATAATTCCATATTAAAGTGTGTAATGTTGAGCACTTCTCATCGTCCATCAGGTTATTTTAAAAGCAGCCTTCTGTCTCAGAGTTTAAGTAGCTCAGTTTGACGCTTTAAAGGAATAGTTCACCCAAAACATGATTAGCCTTCATTTTCTACTCACCCCCATGCTGAACAACACTCTGGAGTACTTTTTTGATATCTCAAATGCATCTGGAGATCTGGGAGGCTTCTTGCTGTCTGCTGACATTCAAATAATGGAGGTCTATGGCGCCCGAGGCAGAAAGGTCCATAAAAGTCCACAAAAAACGTGTCAATATTCCTCCATACTGCTCGTCCAATGTATTCCAAGTGTCCTGAGTGGGTAGCGTCCATAATTTACTCGAAACGAAGTCATTTAGAATGTTTTTAGAGCATAAACAGTAGTGTATAGGATTTCCTGAAAGCGCGCGCCTGCGAGTTCACGACGCTACGGAAGCCGGCAGACCAAACCAGATGAAAGTGCACATTCAGCGTCTGCTCTGCCGATAATGCAAGCGTAGAAGAAGAAATGTGCTGTTTACCTGTGCAAAGAAAGAAACAATGAAAGAAAAATGTCTGAGGACTTCAGTGTTGAGGAAGAGCATGAGTTCTTTGCCGAGCTGAATGCGCACTTTCATCTGGTTTGGTCTGCCGCAGTTTCCGTAGACTCGTGAACGCGCTTTCAGGAAATCCTATCCACTACTGTTTATGCTCTAAAAACATTCTAAATGACTTCGTTTCGAGTAAATTCTGGATGCTACCCACTCAGGACACTTGGAATACATTGGACGAGCAGTATGGAGGAATATTGACACGTTTTTTGTGGACTTTTATGGACCTTTCTGCCTCGGGCGCCATAGAACTCCGTTATTTGAATGTCAGCAGACAGCAAGAAGCCTCCCAGATCTCCAGATGCATTTGAGATATCAAAAAAGTACTCCAGAGTGTTGTTCAGCATGGGGGTGAGTAGAAAATGAAGGCTAATCATGTTTTGGGTGTACTATTCCTTTAAGCCGCCCTCACAGCTGCTGGTTTCCCCTGAATCCACCTACAGCATTTCTGAGTCTGATCTTTCACACCGTCACCCTTCTGGTTGATGAGCTAACCAAGATCAGTGTTTGGATTTAGGATGTTAACGTCTTTCTAAGCTCTCAGGTCCTTAGGAAAGAAGAAAAAAAGGAAAGTAGATCATTTTAAAACAACAGAAAGGACAAACTCTTCAACAACTGGAAGCGCTGTGGTGAAAAAGCCTCAGGTCACCCTGCGTGCAGACGGAGGTCGAGTTTGGACCGGGTGTCGCACGCCTTACGGTTCATGCAGGGACCGCTGACTGACTGTCAGTCGACGCCGGCGAGACGGATCTGTCCCTCATGGCTCCATCAGGAGCTGATCCCCAAAATCATGTTGACGTTCCGCAGTTTCCCTCTAACATATGTAGACATGGGGTTTCATCTAGTATTTGGTCATAATTGGAAGTTGCTTTTTTAAGCAGGCTGCCACCATGTCCCAGTTTAACGTGACGTATTTGAGTACATCAGCGGGAACGAATGGCGAGCGGCTGAAGCCAGACTGGGTGATGGCAGCGCCGGCGGTCTGATGTTGACTCACTTGGCTGTTTGTTTGTGTCCAGAGGGGTAAGGAGGAGCTGAGGGAAGCGACGGCCTTGCTGACAGCCCAGCAGACGTCCTTGGAGATCATTGTCAACATGTGCTGCTCTGACGGTGAGTGTTGAGGGCGCGGACAGCAGCGCTGACCCCAGGCACCCCGACCGGGGATTTGAGGAGAGAAGCAAAATAAAATCCTTCATTGTTTCCTGTTTGCATTGTTTGAATTCTGTTTAGACCCATCTGATGACGAGTGGGAGGAGGAATCGAGCAGCGACGAAAGCGACATGGCGGCGGACGGGCTCTGTGACGGAGCGTCACACCTGATGTCCCCGCTGTGCCTGTCAGCCGAGGTGCAAGGCGCCTTGATCAACTACAGCATCCCAGAAAAGGCAAACGCTCTCTGCTTCCTCCACCGCACCTCACACCTAGTCCTACTCAAACGTTGGATGAAGTCGGCCGGTGAACAGGATGTCGCTTCAGATCAGGCGTTTTGATCCAGACTTTGACTAGGCCATTGGCTCATAAATATGCTTTAGTAAAATCTACTTCAATTTACCTTAATGTTTTCCCTCCACTTTCACCAAATTCCCTGTCCCAGTTGTAGAAAGGTATTCTCCATGCAGCATCATGCTGCCACCACCGTGCTCTAGCATGGCTAAAGGTGTTGAAGGTATCAGAGAAAAGGCGGCTGAATATAAACTGATGCTATTTTTTTTTTTCAAAAAATAATAAAATATACATTCTTTTATTTCCTACTTCAAATATATAAATGTCCCATGTGTTTTGTCACATAGTTTACAGTAAATTGTTTCGTGAGAAAATGTGATAAAGCTCATGGTTATCTCTACTTGTGGAAGGCGCTGTGTGATTTTTGAGCCCCTTCTCTCTCCTCTTGTTCTTATGCTTTTAATGTTTGGCTTTTATATAAACATTTTTCCTCTTGATTCCAGGTCCTTAAAAAGACAGCCTTCCCCAGCCAAGAAGCCATTGATGTGTGCAGTGAGAGTCCATCCTGGAGGGGCCTAAAGAAGAGGTAGCTGACTTTTTTTTTTCCTTTTTCTTTTTCCCTATTCATATTAGTTGCAGCTTCAAACTTTTCTGCACCTAAACTTTTTTTTAAATGTCTCCTCTGTGCAGGATGCAGCGGGTTCAGTCCCGGGCGCTGACCTGCCTCCACAGCATCCTCTCCACCATGGATGCAGAGTCGCTTGGCGGAGAGGCAGCCCTGCAGGGAGCAGCACATCACCTGTCCTCGCTGGTGTTCGGAGCCGGAGGTTCACATTCATGACAATTTTTAGACATTAGGAATCAGTTTAGATTCATTCCATGAAAACAGAACACAGATCTGTGAATTATTGTTTCGTTATTCTGTTTCAGAAATCCCTAAAGATGAGGAGTTTCTTGAGGCTGTTATCAGCGCCATGCGTTCTCTCCTGCAGATAATGGCCTCCAAGAACATTAGCCAGGTACTGAATACGAAATGGTTCTGTCTCAGTTCAAAGTTTTCATACTTTACGGTTAATATTATATGAGATAAATACCATAGTTTAGCTTTATACAACTTTTAAGATACTTTATATCTGGATCTTTATTCCTACAACAGCCCTGTGTAACTTTTAACCCTAGCATTAATTAAATTTAGGATTTATTAAATGATTTATTGGGTCAATATTCAGCAGTTGCTGCATCTTGATGCAGGCGGTTCTTCGCTAAAACCTGCCCATGTAAATTCTGATGTAGGATTTCATCTGGAGAACTTAACGTGGCCTCAACTTTACCAGGAACTCCATGACTTCCCATTCTGCTGTTCTCTACTTTGCCAGTAGGCTGTTATGGAAGCAAATTGTTACCATATTTGAAATGAAAAATCATTTTTTAGAAATGCTTTTTCATTTTAAGAATGTGGCTGCATTGTTTGACTCATAAATGAAATTAGTAATCAATAATCCTCTTTGCATTTTCATTTTCTTCTTCAGCACTGCACATCCTTTTACTTATTAAAATTAAAAAGAAAAAGACATTTGAGATTTGAGATTTATTTTTCAAAATGTATCCCAGCAAATACATACCAAAATTCAATTTGAAAAGTCAAATTTGAAAATGAAAAAGCATTTCCAGAAATGGTTTTTAATTTAAAGAATGTCGCTGCATTATTTGACTCAAAAATGAAATTAGTAATCAATCATCCTATTTGCATTTGCATTTTCTTTTTTAAGACTGTGCATTTTATGCCATAATCAAAGAGAAAACACAGCGGACTTTTCGTTTTCGTGGTTTGCCTGCAAAGTACTGTCCATAACTCGAAAACGAAAAAGCATACTGAGTGGCGTCAAGTAATGCAGCCACATTCTTAAAATGAAAAAAACATTTCTGAAAATGCTTTTTCATTTTCAAATTTTACATTTCAAATTGAATTTTGGTATGAATTTGCTGGGGAACATTTTGAAAAATAAATCTCAAATGTCTTTTTCTTTTTCATTTTAATTAAGTAAAAGGATGAGCAGTGTTGAAGAAAATTAAAATGCAAACAGGATAATTGATTACTAATTTCATTTATGAGTTAAACAGTGCAGCCACATTCTTAAAATGAAAAAGCATTTCTGAAAATGCTTTTTTATTTTAAATTTGGTAACGATTTGCTCCCATAGGCTGCTGCCTGTCACTTTCAGGGGAGCTAAACCTGGAAATTACAGGTCTAGCGCCCCTGGTGGCTATGACAGTGGGTTTTTTTCTGATGTATTTTATTGTTGCCTTTCCTGAAAACTGTGCAGTTTCAGATTGCTGTATTTTTACAGCTACACACAATACAAATATCTATTATAGAACCATTTTGACCTTAAACATGTAAACAATTGGAAGAAATAAGATAAATTCTGAAGGACGAACGGTATAGAAAACTCTTGGTAAACGTCTGTAATAGATCTATTTGTCATGTTAAAAAAATCCAAAAGCAAACTATTTAATCTCGTTTTATAGGTAACACATATAAATAGATTCTGATTTGTAGCTTTGATTCAAGGTTTTATTCATGAAGACACTCGCTGTTGGGTGTTTTTTTTTTTTTTTTCAGTGCATGACCCCCCAGCAGCTGATGAGCCTGAGCGAGGCAGCCACCTGCTGCGACATCGTCAGCGTAAGGGTTAACGCCGTCGCCATTCTGGGCATCACTGGAAGCACGTTAGCCAAAGAAAAGGGCACGGCGCAAACCCTGCAGGTATCGCTTCTTTTTCCTGTTAGTTTGCTTCAAATCCATATTTTTTGATCCCGCTCTGAAGTTTTTCTATTTATTTTTTGCTCCCCCAGATGATCGGAAACGCCTTGCTTCAGGTCGCTACGAAAGATTCCAACCTGGTTGTGAACGGAGAAGCTCTGGACGCTTTGTTTGACGTGTTTGCCGATGGCGAGGAGGCAGAAACAGCGGCTAAAACCATCAGCCTATTGCCTGCACTTAAGGCACTTCAGCCAGTCTTCAAGGCTAAGGTTTCTACAGATGAGCTAATTATTGATTTACAGTTTTTGATTATTTTCAGTTTCTTTTGTACAATTTCCCCCAAAAAATGGTCAGATTGAATTCATTAGTGTCTAATTTCTCCAATAAGTCAAGATGTTTATCTGTCTTCTGTTTCCTCGATAGATCCGTAAAGAAGGACGGGGTAGTTACAGCCCTGAGCAGCTGTGCGTGTTGGACAACATCAAAATCAACCTAAGGAGATTTATCGGTTATCTGGAGAAGCTGGTGAAGAAATAAGGACTTTGGGTTCTTCATACTGTGAGTCGTGGAGACGGTATGAGAAGGATTGGATGTGAAAATATCAGTTATTTATCTATTTTTTTTTTTTTTTATTAATTATCTTTTTTTCTCCATTTTTCTTTGCTTGGTAAAAGTTTTAATATTTGTCCAAAAGAAGAGGTGATGACATATCAGCTAGTGTGGAAAAAAAAAGTGTGAGAAAAAGTTGAATAAGAGTGCAGTTAATAATTCATTGGTATCCTTTAACATCCCAAGTGGTAGAAGGAGGCCTACTTTTGTTGTGAGAAAACCACAGACTGCTGCTCTTATTTGGAGTTTAACGGTAAAATGATCCATAAAAAGTGGTTTTATTAAAGTAATGATATTACTGGGATATTTTAGGTGCCGTTGGTTTCGAGAGACCTTTTGAAATCGGGCTTTGAAGGCCACATTTGTAGTTTTGTATTCTTTTAAAATGGCTGCACAGATGTTTCAGCTCATAGAGAAAAGCTTAAAATGCCTCTTAAAGATAAAGGAGATTAAATGACCTCTTCCACACTGAGCCTAGCTGAGGTTTAAACACCAATTCTTCTCTCCCCTGAGAACAAAAGGAGGCCCACAGCATGATGCTGCCATCGTTGATGTTGGTGTTTAAATGGTGGGTCCATCATATTTGGCCTCACCTTCTTTACACCTTTACTGAATCCCTCCATGGTCTGTTGCAAACTACAAAATGGATTTATTGCCTTCTTTCAAACTTGGATTTTCATCTTGCCATGCCTCCGTTTTATTTGTAAAAAAGACAATAAAAACCACTTGTTCCTAATAATGTCCTCCTTTGTTTATTTACCTTATAAGATTCCAGTGAGATTCTAATATGTTTGTTACAAGAGAAAATTGAACATTGTTAAATTGATCTGAGTATTTTCACACGGCTAAGTTCACAAGGGTACAAAGCTGACATGTTATTAAAAAGGCTTTTTTTTTGTTTTTGGAATTTATATTTCTTTACATCCAAACTTCAAAGCTTCTTAAAAGCAGTTTTTTTTTCTCAGAAAAATGACTTTCTGCACTTATTATTGAAGGGAGCAGGAATTAGCAGGGACCGCAAAGGGTGCTAAACTTGTGTGAAAGAAACTAACTTATCTAATTCAACCAAGCTATGAAAAAAAACTGATGCATCATATTGAATCTCAAGCTCAGATTTAAAAATGTTCAGCAGTTTGTGTTCATTTTATCTAGAACTTTTTCCCACATGCATGAAGTTCTTAGCAATAATGCAAACATTAGTAACCATCCTAACCAGATTGGAGTAAAGGGAGATGTGACGTTCCACCTGGAAATATTCTTTACACATTTTTAATTTTCTTCCAAAATGTCAAAAATGTACAAACTTGTCAAAAAAACTAGACGTATGTAATCAAACCACTGAAAATCGATAGACTTTTTGTTTGTTGAAGGTCTTATTCCAAACTCTTTGTGATGAAATTAGCTTGAAATAATTTCTTCTAGAGGAAAGCACATTTTAATCTAAGAAACAGAAATAATCCAGAGCCAGCTCATTAAATTAGAAAACAATGAAAATAGGTTATTTTACTAGTTCAACTTAAGTCAAATTTTATTTATAAAGCGCTTTTCATACAAATAATATAGTTCAAAGTGCTTTCCACAAGTAAAACATTACCCCATTGTAATCCAACATAGAATAAACATAATTACACCCCATCACCAACGCACACACACTACACACACAAACAGACCAACAGATATTTTCAGACTGAGGGAAAGCTAATAAAAAGGCTGAGTGCAGAAACTCATGTAGATTCATTACAGAAAGATACTTTACATTAACTCGAGACATATTTAGATGCTTTATGGTTCACAGAGAAACCAATAAAAAAAAATATTAGAATGTAAATGCGAGATTATGGCCGACACTTATGAGGAAGAATGATGACTTGAGAGTTATAAAGCCAACGTTCAAAAACAAAGAAGTTAAAAAATGCAAGTTGAAAAGCACAAATGTAACTTCCTGTTAAATCAAAGCAGACTCTAGAGGTTGGTTTGGCTGTAGGTCACAAATCCGAACTAAACAAGAAATATAAATGAGAAGTATAAGAAGATAAAGTCTGTGTTATTGAATAAAACAGCTGGTTTACAAAAGATTAAAGATGATCATTCTTATTTTTATCTAATTTATAGCTTATCCTGTAAGAATAAAAAGCAACGCTTAATTATTTAGTTGTAGGTTTTCTGAAAGGTTTTACCGGAATCTCTAGCTTTGCCTTTACAGTGTTTTAGGGAGGAAGATATTTCCTTTTTTTCTTCTTTCTTTTTGCCAAGTAAATCCAGATTTTTACTTAAAAGTGAAAACCTGTGTTTTTGTACCATTTTAAGGAGTTCTGGAAATTGAAATTAAGTAAGAAATCATCCCACTATTGTAATGCCGAAAGATGAAGTGACTGATTTTGTTTAAGACTTAGACAGATTTATTTGTCATTTTGTTTACACAAGTGTAAATTAAAAAGAAATTTCATTTAGAACAGCTCTCTAGACAATTACATTTTTTTAAAGTGCAGTCTTGAAAAATAGTAAAAAAAATATATATATATAAAAAAAAAAACAGTAATATAAACATATGACTAAATTTACAGTTCTAACATTTCAGTTTATATATATATAATGATAAAATATAGTAAATATAATAAAATAACCCATTTTACAAAACATTCAGCAGTCTAATAGCAGAACCCTAAAGCTTCTTTAGGGTTTTTCTATAGGAAGCCTAAAGCTCTAAGAACACACAGATTGGTTGTAACTGGTTAGATTTATCTAGTTACATTTACTTCAGTGACCTTTTGAAAGCAAAATAACTTCTTCATTGCACTAGACCTTTTTTTTCTTAAGTTAAATCATGAAGTGTCTCTACTGTTTAATAAGTAAAATCACCAGCTGCTCTCATTGCCACGAATTTCACTGAATAAACAACAAGCTTGTTTTCAACAAATATCCATCCAACTGTGATACCATCCTGGAGGAAAATCAGCTGGGCTGCTGCCATCATCAACTTTAGTTATAGAGGAGAGAGTTGGGTCTGTTTTTCGGTGCTTAGTCCTGTTCCTCTCCTAGAAATATTTATGGGCTCAGCTTTTACTGTGACTAACTCTATTTCAACCTTTTGATATAAAAAAACTGACTCAGAGCTTGTCTGCTTAGCTGTTTCCTAGACAGATCCACCTATGGGGCTAGTTTACTGTTACCTTTTCTAACAAAGTAATTATAGATCAGTGCTTCTATATTTCCTTTTTAATGTGTCTCCTGTCCTCTCAAACACCAGTAGGGCTTGGAAGAACACAGAGCCTGGTTCTGCTGGAGGTTCCTTCCTGTTAAAAGGGAGTTTTTCCTCTCTACTGTCTCTGCATGCATGCTCTGTTTGAGGGATTGCTGTAGATTCAACAACACAATTCGAGTCCCACTTTCTCTGTCGCCACATGCCCATCCAGGAGGAGTAAATCTGGCAAGGTCAACAAACTGATGCCATCAGGTGGGTTTCCTTATAGAGAAAACCTTGAACCAATGTGCCTGTGTGATCTAATTAAATTGTCTTTCTCAAGTCCCTTGGGATGACATTTTGTGAAATTGTGCTATAGAAATAAGCTGAATTTAGCCAAAAATATATATATACTTTGAAGTTTATATTGAAGGATTTATTGTGTGTAAACAATCTTTACTGTTATTTATGACCTGCTAAGGCTATTGTTCCGGTTCTAAGTTTTGGTTTATTTTTCTTTAAAATTTTGATAAGAAAGAGTGCCACATCTTTCTCAATGTGTTGTGTTTTTGTCATAACTTTTGTTCTGCTTCTTTGTTTTAGAATTTAACATACCAGAATTGGAACTTAAGTTTTCTTTCTGTCTGTTTGGATCATTTTTAATCAGATTTTTTAATTAATTGTTGACATTCAAATACCTGAACCACAGCGTTTTCAAGATCTGATTCCTAAGGATGTTAGCGGGTCCCACTTGGATCCCCGTTATACATCGCGGTTCCTGAGTGGCCTTTTTTTTTTTAAATCATATACATTCTCACTGCTGTTGGATAATTTCTGGAAGGGCTACTTTCTCATTTTAAATTGCAAAAATATATGGGAATCGTACTAAATCGTACACAAGCTATTTTTTTTATTTTTTATATTTAACAACTGAAATATATATATATATATATATATATATATATATATGGAGATAAACCTCTTTATCAAAATATTTTTAAAATGTTGATGCCTTGTCCCCCCTTGTCCCCAAAAAAATATTCTTTGATTTCCAACCGATTTTAATTGCAAGACTTATAATAATCTGTAGAATACGATTTCCATATTATTATAATTTTTTTTAACTCTTCACTATTATGTTATTTTTATACATTCTTCTAAGGTCCACATTTGTGTGGCCATTTTTTCTATAATCTTCTGTAACACCAGAATTTCCCCTTTGTGGGACAATAAAGGAATGGATATGGATATATATATATATATCCGTGTTTGTTATGTAATAGTACATAAAAAAACGTAAATGTATGTTGCGTAATCGCCGTATCCCCGCCCCCTTTTTCACTCGCAGTGCGCATGCGCAGTAGCGGTGTTGACTCCGCCATCGGTGGAAAGGAACACTCTTCTAGTCGATCCTCGCACGCTTCAACATCTTTAACAGCAAGTTGATCCTCGAATAGTGTTTTTATCAGCTGTCTCGCTCTCTCGTTTTACTATGTGTGGATGAATTAGTCCGAACCTTCGGTGTTTAACGTGATTTCTCAAACGCGTAGTTTTTATTTTTAGTTTTTTTCCCTCTCGTAATCTAGAAGTAACGGTCAGTGGAGAACCTGAGCAGGCTAGCTAACGTTAGCTAGCGATCTGGCTAGCTGCACACGAGCTGAGCGCTGCTCAGTGGTGGGGTGGTGGGGGGGGCTTTTTGCCTACATTGGCGTTTGATGGATCCGAGAATCGCCTGGTTTCAACCAGAACAACGGGGACCCGCTAACAACCTGTGGATGCAGATCTGGGAGACGACGCAGGGGTTCGGGTATTTGCACGTCAACAGCAGCTACTCCACAGGATCTCAGAGCCTGAAAGCGACCGTGAGCGACGGGGCATCGGGAGCCGTTCTTTGCAGAAACGGGACGCTCGACTCTCACATCGGCGGTGGAG